ATATATATAAAGTGAGTTCTTAGTGTTGTTTCACGTATATACCATAGTCAAAGTGAATTGCTTTACTTTTTTTTTTTTTGGGGGGGCGGAGGGGAAGGAAGGGGTTAAGAACCAACCTGACTCTACACAAGTTAAATTTTATGAAAATGACAGTATATTAAAAAATTATTTGAGAGTGGCTAAAAAACCCAGGAAATTAAGCAAAAGCTGTGTTATGTGAACTACAAAGCACTTAAAAGCTATAAACACCTTTCTATAGGCTCTATAATGTCAGCAATCTCATAAGGATTCTTGTATATTTATAAAATTTTTGAAGTACAACAAAATGGTGCTTTGTTGAAGTAGTTCATAGCTACTTAAAACTGGATTTCTAAAACTGCGCAGGTGTGACTGATTTTGCCAAATAGAACTGTAGCTGAAATACAGGTTTAAAAAAGGAGAGAGATAATGACTGTGGTAAGATGAGGTTGGATTGCTGTGCAAACAGTCTCTTAGAGATTAGATGAAACCCAGAAGAACAAAACACAAAGCAAGCATGCAAAAGATCTGGAACGCTGCAGATTCACAGACAGCTGGACATGTAAGTACAAAAACCCCAATCTGTAAATACAAATTGATTCCATCAGGTTTACTATACAGTACTTTAGTAGTAACAGACAGTTGAAAACAGCTTTCACTTAACAGCAAAATTAATTTTAGAGGGAAGAAAATGGTGAAGTCTCCTCCTGGAGAACAGCAAGAGAGGTATTATATTAAGGAGCTAAAATTTTCTTTGGCATGGTAAAAGGGGAGAGCTGAGTTTGCCAATCTATTTACATGAAGTTTCACCATCCTGTGGCCAGTGCAATGATGTTTTGCACAGTCTACTTCTTACATAAACTTTTTTGTTGTTTTCCAGTATGCCTTCATATAAATGTTTTATTCATCATGTTGAATCTGTGTATACAACAAATAAGAATAAACACAAACTGTACAATGCAGACAAACCCTTTGCATATATGTATGTAAATTTAGTAATACAGACCAACAGTTCTTTGATAGACACAACCTACGACATGCAGTTCATCCTTGCCATCGTCTTCCCATGCAACAGATGAGACGAGACAAAATTAAAGGGAAGAAACAAAGCACAAAGACTCTTTGCTATGTTTAAACAGATTGTAGAAAAAATATTTTTAGGACAACTATTCATTGGATTAAACACGCATATGGATTTAGCCGATAGAAACAAAGCCAGAAAAGAATAATAAAAAAAAAAAAGCTGTATTTCTAGTATGTACTAACTGCTTACAAAAATTAAATCTGGCCTTAATTATAGCCCCCCAAACTGGTTCGCAGATCATAATTATCCAGGATCAAAAGTTTAATGTTGAAAACAATGCTTATGTAGCATCAGGCCATGAACGAGAATCTCCTCGCATGGCTCAGCTAGTTCTCCAGGCCTCTCTCTCCCCAGGCTTTTACTCTGGGACAGTAAAAAGACAGCTGGATGGGATCCGAACATGTGTATTCCCTCCTCATGAACTTTTATGAAATTCAGATAAGCGAGAAAGAGAATGTAGCCTTCAGCTGTATTATCTTACTCAAAATGTTGTGAATTGCTCCTCCTATAATTGCAAGAAGGCCTGGGGCCTCCTCTGGGACCCAGCAGACCATACAACGCAAAGGCTGCTGCCTGCCATGGGTCCCCCAGATGCAGAGCAAGCCCCCAGCTCACCACGTGAGTTGCTTTGGTTTGGTTTGGTTTTCTCAGGGATGGTGCACAAATCCCACTGGACCAGATGGGATGAGAAGGGTGCACCGAAGTTTTTAATAAAGTGTTGTTTCCCCCCCACCCCACATATTTTGTGTTAGCAGGCAAGGGCACAGTCTAAATCAAAGTTTCTTTGCATTTTATCACAGCATTAGAGTAGGTTTGTATTTTTTTTTTCTCTATATGGATAGTGGGCTTCAAGCCTAACTTACTTCCTCCCTAGAAACCCAACATCAAGTGTTAGCTTGCTGTTCTCATATTACATATATAAACAAGGAAGTCTGACCTATGGGGAGGAAAAAAATGTTTATCTAGAATTTAGCAGCTTTATAGTAACCTCCTTGAAGAGTGCACTAAATGTTGCTTATAAAAACAGAACACATTTGAAAACTAGTATGAAGACTTCATTCAGACTGAATCAGTTTTTCAGCTGAGCAGACAGGCAGTTTGAAAAAAAACCAGCGGTCTCTGTTAGGGACTTCAGCACGAAGACGTGATAAAACAAATTGCCAGAAAAACAACGCTAAAAAAGGAACAGATGATTTCCTTTTCTTATCTTTAAATATCAAGGTAACAGCAAGAGGCCAAGAGAGTGTTGCCACACAGTTTTCCAGACTGAGGTACAGTTTGGTCCTTGTTGCCCTTTCTGAGAAACAAATGCCTCCTTAAGCGTACAGAGAGTACCCATATTTTTATTCTTCTGAAAGCCTGTGACTAAGTGTGCAACACTTCAGTGGCATCTCTGTGGCATTCCCTAAATCTCCCCCCCCGGCCCCCACGCACACATTGGCTTCATTGTTCACAAGCGACAAACAAAGTGTCGATCGTGTTTCTGGTAATATGATCCAAGGCTTCAATTTTATAATGTTTCTGATTTCTTCTAGGTTCATGTAGGAAAAAGTACAGTATACAGAGATCAAGGCAAGGCACCTTCAATCTAGCAATTTTGTGGGCATGTTATCCTAGGAAGCTGAGTGGAGGTACGTACTGGGATATCAGTGAGATACATAGGACCGGACTTTGCATGCTTAGCTAAAAATAAAAATAAAGTTCTGTAATATGTCCAGTTTTAAAACTTTTGTTTTTTAAAACACCAGAAATATTAAACTATAATTTGTAACTACCCTTTGCATTGGTGCTGCAAAAAAGAACACAACAACATCCTTGCCCATGCTTTGCTAAGTAGGTGTGGGATTCAGCCAAAAATAACAATGGCATTAGGTTCAGTTCCTTAAAAACAGGAAAGGATTATATTTGAAATGAATTTAGGTAGCGCAATTCTGGTCAGTCTTATTTTTATTTTTTTTATTGGTGGTGGTTGTTTTTCAAACAATGAAGATTTAGTAGATGAAAAATGAGCCTTAATTCAGGCCTACAAGGCCTACAAAATTCTTTGGACCCACTTTCCCAAAAATGAGTGGGTCTTGCTCGCTGGGCAAGGCAAATGTTACCATTACCAGTAAGCCTGTGATATGTATAAAACACACACACAAAAAGAAACTATAGGGGGATGCCAAACACTCGGTTCAGAAAACTTCCTGTTGGTTGTGTTTGACACTCTTCCCTCCACTATAATGCCAACCTCAGAAGCACAGTATCTTTTACTAAAGAGTATTCACGTTTAATCAATATTGTAAGCCAGAGACAACAATCCTATTCTTTATAGATATAATTTGTAATAATAGATTTTTGAAGGCTTCCTGATTCCCTGATTGCTTTCAAAACTAAGCCACCGGCAACACTTATGTTATAGAGAAACACAATCCCTGCAAAAGGTCACAGACAGTGGAGCGAGCAGCCTTATAAAAAAGGGAAGAAGAGAAATCCATAATAGCACAGGTTTACAGCATCTAACTAGAAATTACTTGATTATTTGTGTGCTACAAAATAGAACTTAAACACATGGATTTTGCTGAAACTGGACTCAAAAAGGGATTATGGGCAATTGTCAGCAGGCAAGGTATCAAGTGTACTTGTGAAGTATGTCATTCACATGAAGTGTCACAGTCACAGAAAAGATATTAAAAAGGCATTCCGATATCTGGTAGGGCATTCCATGGTCTGAGTTTAGCTGGTTCATCCAGGTGTCTTCTTGTTGTGGGTGGAGCTACATGTTGAGATTTATCCGCTTGCAACAACTCAGTTCAGAAACAGCAACGGACAAGTCCGTGACTTGCCGCAAGCTGATCCACAGACACTGCAGAGGGGAAGTCTGGCAAGGATAAATCGCTCAACTGTGCTCGGGACTCAGTAAGTCACAACACCTGTGAGGATCTGGCTATGTCGTCTTACTCTTGTTAACTGGTTTGCCGCCATTCATTATTGCAGATGCACTTGTGCTTTTACTTGGAGTTACCCCAGCCTTTGGCACTGTTTCTCCGATATCATGCAAAGATGGTTCTCGATACATGGCAACTGAGGGGAGAAAACAGAAAAAGACAGACATTTTTAAGAATGTATCTATCTCATTTAAGAGCTCACCTCAAATGGAGTTAATTTTCTGCAATAACTGATATTGTAATAAAATCCATGTTCCTCTTGCACACGAGGGAAACTATTTACTTTGACAGGCACTTGTTTTGCATGACTGATAGCTTTGCTTGGCCCTCCCCATTTCTCGCCTTTTCCATATCTGACTTAAAAACACAGTAGGAAACTGTGTGCTTGCTTGTTTAATGGAAACTATAGAAGCCTTGGAAATGGAAAACTACTGTTCTGTCTTTCCATGAGGCAGACACACAAAAATGTACATATATACACACACATATGTGTATATATATACACCCCTTAAATAAATATTCTGCAAGTTTTTAGAAGTAAAATATGATAAGACAGATGGTGTTTAACAAACGATCATACGATACAGTTGTCTAGACTTAAGTATTCTTTTTTAGTCCTACGTTGCAAGACTAGGCTTGGGTCCAGTTCTACAAAGTTGTTTGTACATCTGTCTCCCAAGTCTGAGGAGCTTGGCCATGATCTCTTCAGGTGTGGACTGAAGAAACGTCCAGGACAGTGCTGTGGAGAGTACACAAGAGGTTTGGGTTTTTTCTTCCTCCTTTCTAAAAATGTATGCAGTAGCCACTGTTCTCCACTGAATGTAGAAGTGCAGAAAACTCCAAATTAAACTATTAACTGAATTCTTAGAGGAATTAAAAGTTTGCCCCTGGGCTTCAGTCCCTATCCAACCACTTTAAATCCTTTGAGGAAAATACATGTGTTCAACTACACAGTTCCAGCATTAAGCTGCCTTAATGATTAATGCTCTTGGATAATTCAATTTCATTTTCCATGTCACTGAATCAGGTAATATTTCCACTTATACCTAACTTCAGTAGCATTTATTTATATCAGAGCAATATTAAAAGAGATGTCAAAGCAGTCAAAGGAATTAATCATCACACTATGATATAGGGACTGGCTGTGTGCTGCCATAGAGAGCATAATCCCTTCATCCCTTGACTAATTAGAGTAGGAGGCAGGAGCATCAAAGTACTGACCTTGATCTTCAATGGTGTGAAGTTTCGTAATAAATATGAAGGGCCCCATAGCATCATTAACTAATCAAATACTTGTTCTAACATTTCCAATGACATAATCTAAATCCTTTTATGGCTTCTGCAAGTCTGAAATTAAATGTCTTCTCTAGAGTACGTAAGGCTGGTCATGATCTGTGTCTTCAGAGTGCCCCCATAACTGTGTTTAGGACACTTTGCTGATTAATTAAAAGAGCTTGATGAAATAACACCGTGACCTACAAAAATATTAAGTCAAATAACATGAGATGGAACTATAAAGTAAGGAATTATAAAGCAGAGCTGTCATATTTGATGACTCTCATGGGCAATGTAAAGCAAGTTATTTCTAAGCCTTGTCTAAACTATTTTGAAAGAGTCTGACCATCCAAACATTAATCAAAAAAGTAACTACTTTCCTAATCCATATGAATTGATGTTGCTTTTAAAAATGCACTGGCTTTCCCTCCCTACAATTCTTATAATTGGCATATAAAGTGTCAAAATTGTTGAGAGCTCATTAAAATACTGTAAAGTTTTGCAAGACAAGGGAAGCACAAAGGCGTTAACCCGAGTTCAAATATGAAGTTAAAACCTAGGATTATTCAGATTCTCTCCTTATGATGAAACTCTAAAACATTTAACAAACTGATCCTTTAATCAAAAATTTTAAGTTAAAATGTTACAAGAAATGCGACTGCTAACTAAAGCGTTATTCAGGTGTGTGTTTTCAGATGTTAAGTAGTGAGATCATTTTCAGAATGACTGAGGCTATGTGTAGCAATAAAATCAATGAAATTTGGAGTGCCATCAGGACAAGAAGCAAAAAGCAGCATAGATTTACAGAGGCCTGCAGAATGCATAGGATGATAACGCAAAAGTTCCAAGATATAAATGAATGTATTTTTCAGAGAATGTGTGACCTATTATTTTAGTTGTAAGGTTAGAATGACTTTTATTTGCTTCTATCTTGGTTTAAAGGCCAACTTACACAAGTTATGTGCATTACATCAACTGGCTAAGTAATACAGTGTGATTTATTTTATAAAGAGACCTTTATATTTTGTACTAGAAAGCTTTTACTTTGAAATGCTGACATTTCATCCATTCCCTTTATAACTCCCAATTATCCTACAATATCCATTATTTCATTCTGCTTAATGAAAGGACTATTTTCTCACTGCAAGACTCACAACAGCTTTTGTCCCTAGTGATAGAATATTTAAAAAACAGCACAATGCACTTCCACAAAAGATTTATTTTCTTGCAAAATGACCTCTTAATCCCTGGAAAAAAATGTTTTTACATATGCCCTTTCTAGCATCACTATGCAGAAGCACAAAACCGCTCCATGAATCCTGGGGACTGTCATTTGGAATGGCCCCTGTGCAGGGCAAGCACATTCAAAAAGGGTATTTTAGAAACCATTCCCTCTTCTTCTGGCGAGATTTATAGGAGGATTTGCCAGCAATGGACTGACCCTCACCTTCCAATGGCTTGGGTAGAAAATGAGCTGCTGGTTTTGTTTTCTTCACTCTGTTTCCTTTCATGACCTGCCCTTCTTTGTTCAGCCCCAAGAACCAGGCCCTCCCGGACTCCTGTTGTCTGTAGAGCATGGATGAGTAGATTACATAATAATTTTCGAAAACAGACTCCTTGAATTTGCACTCTGGTGTAAAAAGTTCCTGTGGGAGGAAAAGTAAATGTTAAATGATATCTCTAAAGTGCAGCTTCTGTTTTGTTAACTTGCAAATGCTTCTCGATAAGTTTATTATACGACTTATAATAAGGTTCTGCTTTGAGACCAGGAGATCTGTCTTCCTCTAGATGACCTCCAGTTGAAGTTATTTCACCTCCCATGGATGCCTCTGTTTTCCCATCTGTGCAGCAGGGATAGTATATTTTCAAAGTACAGAGGAAGTGACACAGGCATAAAAACACTACTTAAAATACAGGCATAATTATTATTGTGCTTATTTTTATGATAGGATATCTTCATAAGGATTAAGAAAATATGTGTTAAAATAGCATTAATGAGAAAACAGTTGTTCTGTTTTAACACACTAAATGCGAGAAACTCCCTCTATGGTTTATAACAACTAAAATTCAATGCTTAGAAAATCCTGCTACTAACATATTAAAATATAGATAATTTCCTAGAGTATGCATGGCCTGAAACACCACAGGAAGACACTGTTTTAATGTACAAATTTCTGTATAATGAAAAAACCTCCTATTGACATCATCAGCGTTCATCCCAAAACTGGAATTCTTCCAGAAGTCACATTCAGTAACAGAGCACCTGTCCTAAACTCTTTACTAAGGTTAACCTAAGCACAAACTTCTGGAGCCCAGCAGCCAAATAATAATTTAATTTAAATTTTTTTTTTTTAATAACACAAGTAGCAGTAACAAAAGAAAGGGCATGAACATATATTGAGACAGTTTACCAAAATCCTTTGAAAAAACCACAGCAAGTTAAAAAGCAAATAAATCACATTTAAAATATCATGAGGAAATGAGATTGTGTGTGAATGTCATTGTGTGTATCTGTGGACCCACCTGCTGAAACCTGTGGAAGATCATCCTGTCATAAAAGGAGGAATTTGATGTGGGAAAGTAGGAGGTGGCTTGCTAAGGTTTCAGAGCACAAAGTTCTCAGTCCTGAATCCTCTTTTTTATATTTATATTTCTTTCAGTTGTCTTTCCCAAGAAGTAAAAATCTGATACGTCGTATATTTTCACTTCTCCATTCACAGTACTTTATTTTTCTTTTATTTTTTTTACCCCCCATTTCTTTTTGCTCCTGGCCCCATGCAGTACTGAGTTAACACTCAGCAGGTAATGTGTTTTCAGGATCTCTATGCTATCCCCAGCTGCCTATATACTGTAAGAATTTCACAGCTGTTTCTGTCGCGGATTTCCTTTCTGGAAATCAAAACCCTTAAAGACACAGTTCCCCATACAAGAAAGCACAGGTGAAGTACTTTTCTGAATCTGCACTAAACGGCACTTAGTGCACAGCCAAGTTCTCCCCGTGTTATGGGGTACACAGTATTTGTGTGGCATGGCTTAACTTACCACCTGCAGGCAAAGCTGTCTTGACGGATACCAGGCACGGTACTGTTAGCTTTCTCAACTTTTAACCTCAAAGAAAAAGAATTAGTGTATTTTATCCAGCAGCAGATTAAAAGCAGTATCTACTGCAGCACCTGGGAAATAATTTGTGAACCTGCCCTAAAATAAGTTGCTTCGTCTGTGTCAGCAAGTACACCTAGTGTCTATAGGCAACGCTCCTTTACGGGATGCAAAAACCATTCTCTGATGTGTGCAATGGCCATCTTTTTGCACTACCACTTCTTTACCACCTATGTGCACAGCTGGATTTGTTATATACACATGCAGAAATGCAAATGCAGTCTGTACTAGAGGCACCAAAAGCTAATGTCAGGAAATACCTTAAATGCACCTTCTCTTTTGCCACGGGGCTTTTTCTCTCTCTCTTCTAAGACTTTTCGACATCTGTTGTTTGTGTTACTCTCCTTTCTCCTCCACTGATCTCAAATCACAGTCGGCTCAAGAAGACTCAAAATAAAACCAGAAGGCAGGGTGGCATGGCAGAGGGAATGCCTGTTCAAGCCTAGCACAAGCATTTATATGCCAGTCATGTTCCTTGGCTGTTGAAACAGCAGATGCTAATCAGGAAATGCCTACACAGCTCTCCTTATTACCTGCTTCACTGCAAATGCTACCCCCTGTGTTCCCCACTAAGTTTTACTTCCTTGTAAAGCTCAATTACCACAAATACTACTTCTTAGCCAATACTTTTTTTTTTTTTTGCTATAAACAAAAGATGTTTGTCATTCCATGCTCCTCCGTACTAGAGATGGAGGGCTGCCCGTAAATGCTATTTGTGTGCTTTCCCAAACAGTATCCATTAGGGTACTGAAACAGGATTCCTTCAAACCATATCCCACCTCTGAATCAAACCTGGCTCTTTCCTCTCTCATTTATTTGGCACGTACAATGGTATTTCAGACAGCGCACAGCATATGAAACAGTAGGCATTTATTTTATCAAGTTGAAAAAAGATGGATTATGCCAACACAATTACTTGGCTACTCCTGGATGCAGACCGATAGACTGGAAAAACTGGCATCATTACTATTTCTTAGTTATGAAAGGCATAGTAATAGTCTGCTTTGCTTGGTTGGATTTTTGTTTGTTTGTTTGTTTGGGGTTTTTTTTGTCATAGAAGGAAGAGCTGAATCTGAATACTGTATTCTGCCCCAAAGTACTGCAGCTATCCTACTCCAGATGTCTGGGTAGTGTAACAGCTTTGGACAGGGTTTGCATTCATCCGGTGTATTAGGATGCAGTTCTGCCTGGGATAAACTCTCAGTCAAAAAGTCACTTAAATATATGTTACTTTAAAGCAGGCTAATAGTTCCACCGTATTCACCGGGGAGTATTCACAAATGAAAATTAGGTACCTGATGAGGACTATGGGGAAATGTAACCATCGGTTCCTCTGAGGAAAGAATTACTCAGGAAGGGACTTCTGAAATGGGAACCTTCCCTGGGGCTCAGGTGGAAAGTGAATGTTCCTAAGTTAAGGGTGACGTCTAAAGCCTTGCCTCAGACACCATCTCAGCTGGCTGAAAAGCTATAAGCACCTATATTTTCTCCACTAAAGCAACCATGACACCTAAAATGCTGTTTCTGCATGTACCTAGGCCAGATCTAGATCTGTATACCTAAGACAACCCAGTAAGAACTCTCAGAAAATGAATAATGTGCTAACAGCATCGACTTTAAAAAAAAAAATCATCCACAGCCGACCTTACTCAAATCCGTTGCTGGAGGGAAAGGCAGTACAATGACATTTTATAAGAGAAACTCAGTGGTGAGGCCACTCCTGCAGGCTACCTGCCTTTCTGTATCCAACCTGAAGGAATCCAAATCTGCAACTGGCTGACATGAACCATTTAGATCTTCCCTGCAAGAATGACTTTTTGGGTTTTGATCCCAGGACAGTCTTTATATTTTGAATTAGGAAGTGAATGAATAAATTGCCAAACCAGATATGACTTGCAAACAAGAACTTGTGGTTAGGATTTCTCTTCCAAGGTCAGTGCCCAAATTTAACCTATAGTCTTATATAAAAGGTGGTTTTCTCCTGTCAAAGCAGCATTTGAAAAATAAAGTACATACCAGCTGCCAATTTCCAAAACCCCAGGAGTGGGTTTTGGCTGTAAACTGCGATCTGATATAGCTTCCTGGGTCCTAGAGAAGTGAAGGATGTATTAAATTGCACCTTGCTGAGAAGAATTTTCACTCGGATATTTTTGCCAGCTTCCCATCAAGCTTTTGCTTGATGTGAGTCCTATTTGGAGATGTTCTAATTCTCCCGGTTGCTATAGCATTAATAAGTATCACAACATAGTGGTTGTGGGTTCAACTTCTTGGAATCAAGTTCTGTCAATGGGGAGTTCTTAGTTTTGGCGTCCCATCAGTGTTGCCAAAACTCAACATTGTAGTATTACATCATAATAGTGGAGCTTTAACTCATGGAGTCATGTGGTGGTGTCAGAAGCTACTTTCATTTAAGAATAAAACACAAATGCAATAAAGAAAAAAGAGCCATTATCCACCTCTCAAACTTAGGAGTGCCTGAATGAAGGAACGCAGATTACCTGTGTTGTCAACATGGAAATAAAAGGATTGTTGGAAAGCAATTCAGATGACAACTGAGATGAATTCCCTACCAAGTAGTGTCTTTCTGTCCACCAGAGGCTGAAGTCTGACAGGACAAAGCTAGGCCTCCATGCTAATCAGTAATATGGCACGGTAGCAAACGGCTGTAGTTCAAAATCAAAATACAGCAAATTTTACTGTACTGCAAGTAACTGAATAAATGAAAATATTTGAACGAGTTATCAGTGTAACTTCCAATTGCTGGGGTTTCATGATTTAGCTAGCTTTAATGAAGTTGCACATATTAATTTGTAGCCATGGTCTTTCACTTAAAATAATCCCCACAAAGCATAGAGTTTTTCTATTACAGCTGTCAGAAAGAATAAATAATTATGCAACTATGGACAAGAAACCTATGCCGCAAACCACAATGTAAAAACTAGCATGACAACACAGCCATAGAGCTTCTAAATATTGTTTAAAAATTACATAAATGCCTGCAATTTTAAACTAGATCTCTGTTCAGTAACCCAATCAATAAAGAACTGTTAGGGCAGAACAAGAAGTAACCTTCCACTGCACGCCATGAGGGACAGCGTAAGACTACGGCTCTACCACGGTCATCAAAACAGGCAGTTCCAAGGAGAAGGGCTTCTACAGGTTTCCTACCTGCTACTCCTGAACCTTCAAGGCTCTTCAGATTTGTGTTATATTCTGAAATATAGGAAAGGAGGGTATTGTTCTAGTTACAGCTCACAGAAGTGATATAGCTAGCAGTCAGCCTCTTGAATTGCAGCCAGCAGCAAATAAATAAGGAGGCAGTGGCTTCCCCTGGAGATGGGCACGATGGGACTCATTCATCACACCGGGCAGCAAAAGCGCAGCTGCGGGCTGAACTAGCTGCAGCTTCTTCTTGATGCCAAGCAGAAAACGCAACCGCAAGACGAACTCAAAGAGATTGCCAAGCAAGGAACAGCCAATCCAACAG